CTGATGCTGCTGCTCACACAGCAGCAGTAGCAACAACAACAGCAGCAAGTAAATTATTTTATGAATTGATTCCAAATAAATTAAAAGAAATAAAAAAACTTTTTTTTATCTTTTTGTTAGCGCATGCACGGGGGGAGGGAGCGGAGGCCTGTGTGGAGTGATCAGGGGGCAGCAGGAGCTGCCTATACACCCCACGAATTCATATTTTCTGTGTAAAATATTTAATTATAATTATAAATAAAAACAAGAAATATAAAATAATAAATAAAAATTATATAAAACAAAACAAATACAAACAAAATATCCTGCTGCAACCAGGTTGTATGCTGCCTTGACACTGCATGTATTTCGCTGCTGCTGCTGCTGCTGCTGCTGCTGCTGCTGCTGCTGCTGCTACTGCTGCTGCTGTAGTATGGATGAGGACGTTGAGGCCTGCGTTTGTTGGTTTGTATTTTTATGTAGTTGAGTGTTTTATTTTTGTTTATTTTTATCTCCTTTATGTTGCAGTATTCTGCTGTCTATGCGATAGGCCTCTAAACACAACACCGTGGGTCCCCTGCTGCAGCTGCTGCAGCTGCTGCTGCTGCTGCTGCTGCTGCTGCTGCTGCTGTCGGCCTCTGCAGCAGCACGCGGGGCTCTCCAGTAGAATGTCGGTTTTAATGAATTTTATTTAAATAAAGCAGACAAACATTGTCTCCTTTTAGCAGCAAAAGGGCCTCAGTAGCTGCTCCCCTTATATCTACATCTGCTGCTGCTGCTGCTGCTGCTGCTGCTGCTGCTGCTGCTGCTGCTGCTGCTGCTGCTGGGTTTCGGGGCCCGTATTGTTTGTTGGCTCTGTCTATCATCCGAAGCTGACACACTGCTGCTGCTCGCCAGCCGCAGCGGCCTTGCTGCAGCAGCAACGCTGCTGCTGCAGCAGCAAAAACAGCAGCAACAGCCCTCTAGTCTAGCGTTCCGCAGCAGCAGCAGCAGCAGCAGCAGCAGCAGCAGCATTTTCTGAGTTTTTGTATGAAGACTTCGCGGGGTCTGCTGCGATTGCCTCCGCCTCCCAGGGCCTGCTGCAGTTGCTGCTGCCTCTCTGTTTCTATGTATTCAGCAGCAGCAGCAGCAGAAGCAGCAGCAGCAGCAGCAGAAGCAACAGCAACAGCAACAGCAGCAGAAGCAACAGCAGCAGCAGCAGCAAGGGAAAGAACAGCATCCCATTAGTAACTGGTCTGCTTTAATTAATTTGAGTGTACAGAAACGCTGGCAGCAGCAGCAGCAGCAGCAGCAACAGCAGCAGCAGCAGCAGCAGCAGCAGCGGTATCCCCAGCAGCAGCAGCAGAAGCAGCAGCAGCAGCAGCAGGAAGAGTCTCCATGCCTCGCCTTGTGGGGGCCCCACACCGTGCGCCTCGTGCGTCTCCTTCTTTATAACGAAGCTTTGCTGCTGTCTTCCTCATGAGCAGCAGCGCTGCGGGGGGCAGGCCTCAGCTGCAGCAGCAGCAGCAGCAGCAGCAGCAGCAGCAGGAGGAACAGCAGCACGAGCAGCAGCAGCAGCAGCTAGCCGATGCTTCAGCTCCCCCAGGGGACCTGCAGCAAACGCAAAGCGCCCAGAGCCTGCATGCATTTGAGCAGCAGGCAGCAGCAGCAGCAGCATGTCGATGAGTTTAGATTTGTTGAATTCCCCTTTATTAGATTTA